TGCAGATTCAGTCATTCAAATATCACATTAATGTAATTCTTTGGAAGTTGCACACTGAGCATTTTTGTTATTCGCTGGAAAGAAGGCAGTGCCCGGCTGTGAGGGAGCAACTACCGTATTTTTCGCTCTATAAGACGCACCTAATTTTTAGAGGAGGAAAACAAGAAAAAAATATTCTGAATCAAATGGTTTACTAAACTATTTAATAAACTATAACAGAATACAGTAATACTGTATTTCAACCTTGTAAAGTGAACAGCAGTCAACAGTGGCATTAAGAACCACCATCACTGTCATTAACAAAAGAGAGACTTTAAAGTTCGAGTACTCTTCTAGTTTTCGTTGAACCCATAGAACTCATCATCACTAGAGTCAGAATTTATGAAGCTCTGTTGCTCACAATCACTCACATCACTTTCTTAGTCAGCAGTGGAATTATTGAAGGAATCCACAATCTACACGTTATACAAGAGCTGCTGCAGACAATTCAATAACAAATCTAAAAAAGCCAGTAATGTCCACGCTGCCCTACTAGTAAATAATAGAAAAAAACTTCTGACAAAAAATGAGATATGGTACAGTAAATCAAACACACAGCGGACTAAGTAGCCTTTGAAGAATAAACTTCACACACGAAGATAATGCTGTTCAAATATCCACTGATCCTAAAAAAAATGTGTCTGATCAACTAACAGAAAACTGATCCATGGAAAGCTTCCTGATAATCACAGGCACATTCCCCATCACTTCCCCATGGACTTCATTAAAAGACGGGTTGCCATTTGAAAACACACCCCAACCTGTGATTAACAGCTCTCACCTGCGCTGGAGGAGGGGGGCAGAGCAGGGCACGCCGAGCGTGTGCTGGCCAGGTGGTGCCACGTGGGGCCGGCAGCGTGCCGACAGTGGTCTTCCGGGCGGCGCGGCGGCAGGTCTTCCCAGGCGGTGGGGGTGAGCAGTCCATCTCTCCGTGCGGCCGGCAGGTTAAAGCCTGTGGTTCCTCTTCCTCCACACCTCTCCCCTTGAGCAGCACAGGTCTCACCTGCGCCGGAGTGGGGGGCGGAGCAGGGCGCGCCGAGCGCGTGCCGGCCAGGTGGTGCCACGTGGTGCAGGCAGGCTGGCAGCGTCCCGGGCATCGGGCACACACACATTTGCTCTATAAGATGCACAGACATTTCCCCTTACTTTTTGGGGGGGGGAGTGCGTCTTATAGAGCGAAAAATATGGTACTTCAGAAATGGGGAGGCTGCAGATAGGAAGCAAGCCAGAGACGGGCAAGCTGGAAGTAGCAAGCTGGAGACACAAAGACACTCAGTGGCACAACATGCCAAGCCACCGTGGCTTCCAGGGGTGCAACATGACCCTTGGGTGGGGGACCTGCTGCACCACACGTGAGCATCAAAGGCAGCCTCCTGCAAACTCTTGATAGCACTTATGGACAGCTGTCTTTGGCCTCCCTGCTGATGCAATGTGACACCTCAGGTCCTCCTTGGGCCTTGCAAAGGCAACATGTGACGGTGTTGCCAGTGCCTGGCAAGCCCCATCTTCCTCAGGGCTTCAGAAGGTGGCACCAGGGTCTGTCACATCTGGCATTGGTTTGTGCTGCCCCTGCCACTGTCTAAGGAAATTCATTTTCTAAGAAAAATGGAGACACATGCTCTGCCGTTTTGAAGACTTTTAATGAATGTGTAATCTACTGGAAACCATTTACAGGCTTTAGAGGCAGTAACTTGTGATGCTGGACTATGAATGTGGCCATCAGATGCCGTAACTTCTGTTCATGATGCATCTCTATGCACACTTCTTGTTTTATGAGCTCATGTTGTGCTGCTGGTTGTTTTTTGTTTTATTATTTTGTAGTAATAAACATGATTTAAAAAATCAAATGCACAAATTTGTATGCTCTATTGGCCCATCAGGATTAGATGACTTTCTAGGTTCCTGTGGCAAACTCCTGCCTCAAATTCCTCGTGGTTCTCTGCTCTGGTTAGCACTCTCAAAGGTTCAGAGGACCTGTGTCTGCTTCACTGCACTTCTCGTTTAGATCTTCACATGAATAGGGGCGTGTGCAGAAAGGAGATCCTATGATGTTGGATCTATATGTTGACTTTGCCTGCAGCCTGCACATGAGGCTGAAAAAAAAAGATCGAGGAGGAACAGTGCTGCATCACCAGTGACATTAAAGCAAACCTACAGCACAGAAGGATTTATGGACCGGGAACATCTCATGAGGAAGTTTGCGCTGCTCTGTAGCCATTTAGACAATAGAAGAGCCATTGTTACTCTGCTGCAATCTCTGTCATTCATTCAACATGACATCAGAAGCCAGGGCTACTCCATTAATAATCCGCTGATGAATTAAAGTTCTTGCATAACTTTCCAAATGGGATGGAGGGATGGAGCTCAGCATGGTGAAATGCCCTGCCTCCCCTCACAGGTCATGTTTCTGTCTATCTGTCTGTCTGTCTGTCTGTCGTTGCATTTTACATCACCCAATAGCTGAAGCTCTCTGTACAGTTCACAGTTTAAAACAATTGAATATAAGATACAGCATATAAAACTTAAATGGTTCAAACTACTGTATAAAATAGTAGTAAAAACTAGGGTAACACCTAGCAGCAGCAGCAGCAGCACAATACAATTCAAAATACAATTCCAGATTTAAAACAGAATGTAACTAAATTTCTTGGGAAAATTCCTGAGACTCTCCTATACCACCCAGTGCCATGCAAATTATGGAAGCTAAGGTATTGATGGAAACTGGATGCCAGTGCTGTATTATCTTCATGGGCTCCCAGTTCATTTTTGAGTACAATTAAAATGGTTCACATATAAAGGGCTTCATAACGTGGAATTACAGTATATGAAGGAGCCAGATGCTTCTGCCCAAGCCTGAGCTCATTGTTCACACGTAGCACTGAATGATAGGATAAGGTTATGCCCAGAACCCTCGGGTCATGCACCTCCCCCTCCCCTCCCCTCCCCTCCCCTCCTTCAGCATGGTCAAGGAGACTGGAGGCAGCTCTCAACATGTCCTCATCTGAAATGGTGGATAGTCATAACTGTGGTTTACGTAAGCCCATGATGGGCCACTCATGGCCTTCATGTGTTACTAGGGTGGTATATAAATGCAAATAATAAATAAATAATGTGTTCTGTGGTGCTCAGCTGCATTCCCCTCCCCAGCATTATTTCCTTCCACATGTTTCCTACCCTACCTTTCTTTTCTTTGGGTTCTAAAGTTGCCTTTTTATTTTTATTTTTTGCTGCCATGGTTAACTTTATTGAGAGGGAAACCATAGAAAATATAGAGTGGCAGAGTGTATTCTAGCCTTAAAAACACTATGGTGATACAAGAATAAGATACCTGCAAGAATAACAATCATTAATAAGAAAGAAGCTGTGGAATAGAGCTGTATATAGTGGCAAAGGGCACCTTAGTCCTCCATACATTGTATATATCATGTGCTTGTACATGATAGGAAGAGAGAAGAAGCAGGGACCTTTGACCCACCATGCCATGTGGCCCTTAGGAGAAAAAGGGTTGCCCACCCCTGGAAGCAAGACAGGATCATGAAACATTGTTTAAAGTTGGCTTGTGAGGGCAAATTTCAGTTTGAGTCTGAACGTAAGGAGTTACTGTGGTTAATTAAACATGGAAGCAAAAGTTTTCAATCATCGCTCTCTGGCTAAACCAGAGGAAACATTGGAAAGGGGAGCACATGAGCCCAAGTCTTGTACGCATAATACGAAACCATAGTTTTATCAGTACATCTGAACTAGGCTGTCTGTATAGTTACATTGTGTTGCATTGTGCAATTTAGTTACATTGTGCAAATGACCTGTCGCATCCCTTGGTCTATTGCTTCAAGACCCTCATCAGCACTGAATATTTGGTATTTTAGTTTTCTTGTGATTCTGTGTACACGTACATTCAGATACGCACCATGCTTTTTACAAAGCTATTGTCAAGATCCGAGGCAGCTTCAGCGCTCCCTCTGCTGGCCCAGGACCAGCATAGCAGCTCTGGCAGTCTGCCCCAGGCTACGGCAGCTGCCAGGGCTCTCATGTGCGCCACCTGGGAGCCCTCAGGGAAGTACTAGGTAAGAACTGGGTCTTTCTTCCAGAAGCGGCCTTGGCACTGTAGGTCCTTTGACTTGTGGAGTGTTCTTTGTTGGTTGGACTCTTGGATGCTGTTCCTGGATCTTACCTGACTTCCTGGTCCTTGTTTGCTCCATCTCCTGCTCCAGCCCTCAGGTACCTGCTCCCCTCTGCATTGTTTCCTTGGTTTCCTGACTCCTGGCTTGCCTGACCACGCTTGCCCTTGGACTGACTCTACCTTGCTCTCCTACTCCTGGCACTGACCTTTGATTGCTTGACTACGATTTAGACTGAACCTTGAGCCCCTCCCTTGTTGCCTGGGTCCTGGTGCCCCTGCCAGTTAGCCACCCACCCACACCCCAACCGCTGACAGCTATCATATAAACTTTCCCTTGCCTACCCCTGAACTAGAAAACTGAAACACAGTAGGGTAATAGTTCTCAAGCTTTCTACCTTCAGAGCATGTCAGTTTTTGTTTTGCCAGGACTGGCAAGCAGTTGTTCTTTATATTGGGATTATGGACACAGTTGTAAATTGTGCAGAGGTGTGTGGGGAGAGAAATGTTAAATGTGTGCTGTTAAAATATGATATATGACTGCCAACACTCCCGCCCCCATAAAACCAGTAAGACTAGTACTTAGAATTACCTAGCTGCACCAAGGAGTCCTGGAGGAGTTTCCTACAGTGTTAGGGCAGTGGGGTCAGAGAAAGAAGCAAATCATTCACGGGCCAGTCTTCACCGTGTTTGGGGTCTAAGATCTTCTTCACCTGGGGATGAACATACAGTGCCTCACTAACACAAACACGCAGCTTTCATCCATCCATGTTGAGCAACGAAGAACTTGCTAGAATTTCTGGACTGACTCAGGTGAAGTTCATGGGCTTTGCTTCCATTTCAGAACCAAGAGTTTCCTGTTTCCCTGCTGTCTGTCAGAATTGTCAGCGCCAATAACATTTCCTGCAACAATACAAGTAAGTACATCCTTCACAGTCCCATGATGTTCAAAATGAGCTCAAGCGGCAGACGACTAAATATAAGTGGTAATATAAGGGGAACTGCTGCCGCTTTCCCTGTCTTCCTGCCCTGTGCCTCACAATTTCTCCCCTCTGCCTTTCCCACCATGTGGGATATGAGGGCACTGCGCTGTGGGTTTGCCATCCCGCCTTGCATCCTAGCAGTAGTTGCTGCTTGGAGCAGCAAAGTAGGAAACATGATTAGGGAACATGTTCTACATATTGAGGAAAGGCTGAGAGTTCAGGAGCATTGGCCCCCTACATTCATGGTTTGGGGTAGGTGGGAGGAACTGGTGATCCATTCTGATCAGGTGGGTGCAGGCATGGTCCAGTTACTCCATGAGAATGTGTGCAGGGTTCTCTGAATCAAACCAAACTAATCAAAGGATACTATGTGGCTGTTCTGTCTTTTTTTCTTCTTAACACATGTTTGATGGAAATGGAAGAAGACAGAAGTAGTGTGGGGGATGCATGGGAGGCTTACAAGTGGACGATGACTTCATTTGGAGCTTCTGTAAAGTTCTGTAAATGAGAGAGGGTTGTGGCACAATAAAACTTGGTCTGGAAACACCCTGGGTATTCCTGTAGCTGCAATTCCCTTGTGTAACATCCAGCTCTGTTGTTAGACTGACCCGTATCCCAGACAAGAGGGGGCAGTCTCTCAGCATTGAAAGGGCTGGTCATGTAGGATTCCACAGCAGGGCCATCACTGGACCTGCTTTGACACCACATTGTGAAACCTAAAACATACATCTCTGCAACTGCACAGTAGGTTACACGTTCCTTCTAATCATTACTCATAGACAGGGATTCTCAGTTGATATTCAGGTATTTCAGTTTATGCAGATATTCTGCCTACTTTGACTATTACAAATGATTGCAATTAGTCCGATCGTCTTTTGGAGTAGGGCAGTTTATAGAACCATATTGTTGAAAGGAAACAACAATCTGTTGATGGCCCTGTATCAAGACAAACCTGGAAAATGTGAAATGAACTTTTGGGGAACTTTTGCATGGCATGTGAGACCACCTCCAGCAGCTCAGATAGGGAGTCTGTTGAGCAGTGGGATGAGGCCGTATGCCAACAAATCCCACTGTCCTCACCATTATATAATTATATGTCCTCATCTTGCCCAATGCAAGATGCAAACACTCTAGACTGATAGTCAAATGGACAGGCAGTCAGCAACTTCCCATGTATTTCTGTTTTTCAGTAGACTTCCAGCACTGTCCTCCTCGGCCACTCTGCTTCTGCAATATCTGTTCCATGGCACCCACACCTCCACCTCCTGGAATTTCTTTCCATTGAACATTTTACTTGTCCACCAAACTCCTTTTTATTTTTAATCACATCCAAACTGACGCACTTTTGCCACAAACCAGAAAATGGTTTGTGACTGTTTTTAATTAATATTCCCAGCAGTTAGTAGACTGGTGAATGTTTCAAGATGTCACATTAGCTCATTAAATTAATGCCAGAAGTTTCATCAGTGCTATAAAATTTTTCAGTGTCTACTTAAGATATTCAGTATACTTAAGATATACAGTATATCACAGAAGTGAGTACACCCCTCCGATTTTGTAAATATTTTATTACATCTTTTCATGTGACAACCCTGAAGAAATGACACTTTGCTACAATGTCAAGTAGTGAGTATACAGCTTGTATAACAGTGTAAATTTGCTGTTCCCTCAAAATAACTCAACACACAGCCATCAATGTCTAAACCGCTGGCAACAAAAGTAAGTACACCCCTAAGTGAAACTGTCCAAATTGGGCCCAAAGTGTCAATATTTTGTGTGGCCACCATTATTTTCCAGCACAGCCTTAACCCTCTTGGGCATGGAGTTCACCAGAGCTTCACAGGTTGCCACTGGAGTCCTCTTCCACTCCTTCATGATGACATCACAGAGCTGGTGGATGTTAGAGACCTTGCACTCCTCCACCTTCTGTTTCAGGATGCCCCACAGATGCTCGATAGGGTTTAGGTCTGGAGACATGCTTGGCCATTCCATCACCTTTACCCTCAGCTTCTTTAGCAAGGCAGTGGTTGTCTTGAAGGTGTGTTTGGGGTTGTTATCATGTTGGAATACTGCCCTGTGGCCCAGTCTCCGAAGGGAGGGGATCATGCTCTGCTTCAGAATGTCACAGTACATGTTGGCATTCATGGTTCCCTCAATGAACTGTAGCTCCCCAGTGCTGGCAGCACTCACGCAGCCCCAGACCATGACACTCCCACCACCATGCTTGACTTAGGCAAGACACACTTGTCTTTGTACTCCTCACCTGGTTGCCGCACGCTTGACACCATCTGAACCAGGTAAGTTTATCTTGGTCTCATCAGACCACAGGACATGGTTCCAGTAATCCATGTCCTTAGTCTGCTTGTCTTCAGCAAACTGTTTGCGGGCTTTCTTGTGCATCCTCTTTAGAAGAGGCTTCCTTCTGGGATAACAGCCCTGCAGACCAATTTGATGCAGTGTGCTGTGTATAGTCTGAGCACTGACAGGCTGACCCACCATCTCTTCAACCTCTGCAGCAATGCTGGCAACTCTCATACGTCTATTTCCCAAAGCCAACCTCTGGATATGACGCTGAGCACGTGCACTCAACTTCTTTGGTTGACCATAGCGAGGCCTGTTCTGAGTGGAACCTGTCCTGTTAAACCACTGTATGGTCTTGGCCACCGTGCTGCAGCTCAGTTTCAGGGTCTTGGCAATCTTCTTATAGCCTAGGCCATCTTTATGTAGAGCAACAATTCCTTTTTCAGATCCTCAGACAGTTCTTTGCCATGAGGTGCCATGTTGAACTTCCAGTGACCAGTATGAGAGAGTGAGAGCGATAACACCAAATTTAACACACCTGCTCCCCATTCACACCTGAGACCTTGTAACACTAGTGAGTCACATGACACTGGGGAGGGAAAATGGCTAATAATGCCCAATTTGGACAGTTTCACTTAGGGGTGTACTCACTTTTGTTGCCAGCGGTTTAGACATTAATGGCTGTGTGTTTAGACAGCAAATTTACACTGTTATACAAGCTGTATACTCACTACTTGACATTGTAGCAAAGTGTCATTTCTTCAGGGTTGTCACAAGAAAAGATGTAATAAAATATTTACAAAATGGGAGGGGTGTACTCACTTCTGTGATATACTGTATTTATGCACAAGCCTTCCCTGCAAAAATATCTGCAGAACTAGATACCACCTATCCTGTACAAAGTCATCTAACACCCCTACCTCTGACTTGAGATGTGTTGCTTACAAATATTTTTAATCAAATATTCATTTTATCCCCTACTACAGGGTTTGCATCTGGTTGCTATGTGACCTTGCATCTGCCAACAGCATCACACAAGAAATTCAGAACCCAAACTATCAAGTACTCTGAAAACCCAGTTTGGAATGAGAAATTCTACTTTACAATCCAAACTGAGATCAAGGTATAGTAAGATACTCAAGATACCATCTGCTTCTCTTGAAAGTTTTTTGGGCAGATAAAGCTGTATGCCATACTTGCAAAACAGCTCTTCCAAATATAACAGCAAACAGTAGGCTGCTTGACTTAGATTTTTCCAGGAAAAGGAAAATTACCATTTTAGTTTTTGATGCCTGCCAAATGGTAGGAGAGAATGGCTGGTAAAGTTTAATGAAGTTGGATGGCTGAAGAGATCTGGAGATATATAGGACAATATAGAAGTGGGAGAGTGAAGTGGGAAGTGACTGGTAAGAAAGAGGAAGGTGATAATGAGAAAAACAAATAAACAGAAAATAGTATTAGAGGTGGAAAGGATGAAGACATTACAAAGAAATAGCATTTCACTATTCCCTTCTGTAAATTTTTTGAAAGAGAACATACTGATGGCAAGGCTTCCATTAATCTGAAAGAATATGGATTACAGCAGAAATGGCCAGATTGCTCTGTCAGTTGAAAGGAATGTACAATTCTGACCTTCCTTTTTTCCATTCCCAGAATATCTTAGAGTTGGAGGTTTGTAAAGCTGATCCAGTCACCAAAGATGACATATTGTTTACTGTTCTTTATGACTGCGCAAAGATCCAGCCTGGAGACACAGTCTATGAGATTTTCTCCTTAAAACCAGAGGTGAGGGCCAAAAAATTCCCTTGAGTGTAGCGTTGTCTACAGCTGCTACCCACAGAAAGCAGCTACTTAGGTAGTTATTAGTCTCTAGCCCAGTTCTGTCATTTATCTGGATGAGTGAGGGATTAAAATGGGTGGAAAGTCAGGGCCCTGCACGTTGACCCTGGTCTGACCATGAGTAGAACTCTGCACAGCTGTAGACTCTTTTAGATCAGGGTTTACAGAAAACTCCACTTGCATTCAGGCAAATGTGTAGAATTCCCTTCACACCTTGTCAGTTCATCTCAACAATGTCTGTATGGAAAGAGGCAGAGCCAGCATGCCCAGAGATGTAGAGGGCAAGGCCTGCTGTAGGCCTGGTTTGCTCAGCAAGTACCTGCAAGGGGCTTCTGTGCTTATTAGATATCGTGTTTCATAAGCTGTGTCTTTTAACTTCATTCTGAAGTTGAGGTCATCCTGATATACAGGGATTTCTGGTGAAGATTTACAAGCCCCGTCACCATCATTTTGGGGAGGAGAGGTTGAGATCTCTCTGGAATACAATTCCTGTCCAACGGATTCTTTTATATGTGGCAGCTGAAGCTGAAGGAGCCATCAGCTGGTGCCCACCAGAATGGGATAGCTAGCAAGTAAGGCTCCTAGAAGAACGTTTTGCTGCGTTGATGCACTCCACCTCTGAGTGCTTCAGGTGCTTACACCCAGGCTTCAGATCCTGACCAAGTTCACTGGAAATTTTTGGCATTTCAGTGATATGATTTGGTATGAGTTGATTGTAAGATGAGGATTCACGGCATTAACACTTCAACAGATTCCTTTTCTTCATCAGATCCCTAGTGACCCAGTAGTGTTTCCTGTAGAAACCTCTCCTTTTAGGGTTTCAATGCATGAAGAGTTAACCCACAGCTTTACAAAGGCTGCTTCTTCCTTTTTGATAGTGGGAGGGAAAATGCATCCTTTATTTGGTGTGTCCACATCCCCCCAGCATGGTTTCGAGAGAAATGGACTTCTCTTTTAAATACAGTATATAGAAATTCAACTACAAGGTGATATAGCTGCAGTATACTGGTTTTGTGACTTTTTATGAGGCCTTTGTCTCAATCTGAAATGTAATATCAGACTTTCCTCAAGCTAAAAATGGCTGGAAAAAATTCCTCACCCATTGAAAATGGCTGGAAAACATGGCAAAGGCCCTGGAGGAGAATATTGTGGAAAGTTCCACAAATAGTTGTGAGTGCACAGTGCACAATACATACCTTGTACAAAGAAGCCCTCAGCTCTTCCATAGACTGACTTCCTGCTACATGTACATGCCTCATATTCTCTTTCCCCTTGTCTTGTGGATGGTAGGTAGAGATGGCTGACTTTTCTCTTCCTCCCTATCTGCTAAGTATTTTGGACTAGCTTAGTGGCCACATAGATCCCTAGAAATACATTATTCACAACTTCTTGTTCCATGGCATTGGCTTGAGCATTCCCAAGCCATTGTGTTTCAGGGAGGATGTAGGGCGCACCGTTCCCCTTTGATTTTATTCTAGCTTTTGCCCTTGTAACCAGACCCTTGAAGTAGGGATGCCAGAGTCTGAGGAGCAGGATCCTAACATGGAGAGATTCACAAAAGTTTACCATGCAGTTACTGGGGCCCTCGGCTGCAGCAAGGCCATTTATGATGAGAAAAAGAAAATGGATGTACAAACAATCCTTGAGGCCTATTTTAAGAAAATGTCTCCAGTGGTAACCCCACCCCACCTGTCTCCAGCAGCACAATCAAACCCTGACTGTCCAGCACCAGGTTGATCTCTGTCAACATCAGTTAATGTTGGGCTTAATGTTACTGTAAGAAAGTTTTAAACTGTTTTAAGAACTGTTTTTCTTATTTGTTTTTTACAATACTGTGCACTCACACACACGTTCCCTCTCTTCAGTACCTCTAGTTACTTTATTACTGTATTATCATCATTACAATGCTGTATTGCATTTCAGATGTTTTTGTGAATATGGAAGTGTTTCGTAAGTGCTTTATATGCAAAGAAAGCTAATATAGATTTACATATACTAAGATAAAAATTTGGCTTACTCATGTGATCTAATTGACTTACATATGAATTTGACTTAAGGACGTTCTCAGGAACGGAACTCGTTCTTAACTGAGGGACTACCTGTATTCAGAAACAATGTTGGGAAATCTACTTGAAGCTCCTTGTACCAAACTAGTTTCCTACTAACAGCTAGCTGAGCTGCAGCAAAACCCAGACACACGTGAACCATATTCTGCTTGTTGTGACTGCTCAGAAGAGTTGCAAATGCTTCTGCCAGAAGCAGGGTGCCAGAGGCCTGCAGCTCAGGCTGGAAGCGTTGGCACTTGCGCTGGCCAGCTGCAGCAGCACTGTTGGCTTAGGCTGTGCCAGGACTGAAGGGCTGGCAGCACAGTGAAATATATTTGTCAGTGATGACCTTATTCCCTTACATTTCTACAAGGAGTGGAGAGATGACCATTTAGTAAATAGTTTTTAAATTATCAGAATGAAGACCGTCCTTATGAATCTTTGGAAGTGGAATTCAAGTTGGCAGAAAGGTAGGTGTTTTGTTGGATGCAAGCTGGTAAGAAAAGAAATCATTTTTTGAGTGGGGGCATACTCTTGGGAATTCTTCTTTTTCTTTTCTTTCCTAGTAGGTAACAGGATTTCTATATTTCTGTTAATCCTTTCTAACACATCCTTCTGCTTTTTCAGCACCTGGAGCCTAATATGGGTAGCTTTGTTTGGGCAATAAAGCATTGTACATTATGCTGGTTATAATCAACAATATTTCTTTACTGCTATTCTCAGATCCTTTCATAAATAACTTATGATAACTGATCAAAATGGGGAAAGCTGTGTGGTGGCCATCACATATTGCATTTGTGCAGGCCGTGTAGAGCTTTTTTCATAGAGCATTGACAGATCTCCAGGCCTCAGCTGAGATAAACTCAATAGATTAAGCAGGGAATGGGGCTGGCATCCAGATTCACTACTGACTGATATGCAGGCCATGTGTCAGGTGCTTGTAAACTGCACAGAGGGTACCTGCAGCATATCCCCCCCAGGTGTTGGCCTGCCAAGGCTCCCTGTTTCTGAATTCATGCAACTGCAAACCTCTACAACTGTGCAAATGTAGCTTTAAAAGTTCCAAAAATATTTATGCACATACAGTGCACCAAAAAAAAAAAAAAAAAAAGGAAATTTGTTTGCCAGCTGCTGATAACTGCTCCAGAGTAGTGCTGGACGCTTTTGTAATCTTCACAAACAAAAGATTAAAGCAGCAAAAGAGCTGTGCTGAGCAAAAAAGAGCTTGCAAGCACAACAGCAAGGGGAAGTCAAGTCAGCCCTTGTGGGTTACTTGTGGGATACCAAAGGGGAAGGAGGGGGTAAACCACCCACAGTGATCCTAATTATCTGGCTTAATTACTTGTTATGTATTGTAAGCCACCCAGGAAGGCCTTGGCAGTTATAGGCGGCCTGTAAATACACGTATAAATAAACAGGTTTATAGAACAGCATTCTTAGCCAGTGCACATTTTGATTCCTGGGTGATGGAATAATGTTAAAAATATAAAGAATAACTTACAGAAATGATTGTTCTTGATCAGTCACTTCCAAGCACTTATTTATAAAATGCCAACCACTTTATCACGTGCAGTCTCCCCCTCCCACCTTTTTTTCTTTGTTTTTTAGCCCTGATCCTCCTGAGAAACTTGTTTCCAATGGTGTCTTAGTGGTAAGATGCCTTTGTATTTTGTAAGATTATCTTAATTCTTATTCTATATTCTATCATGTGGATGTTTCTCTATAAACAAGACAACAGTCTGGGATTCTATGTAGTGTGAGGCAAAGAAAGAAAGAAAGAAAGAAAGAAAGAAAGAAAGAAAGAAAGAAAGAAAGGATGCTGTTAAATAACCATCTTAGTTTCTGATTGTGAGAATCAGATTACCGGGAATTTCTTTGGTCCCTGTAGTTTATATAATCCACAGAGGGTTGTGACATGTGCCAGTGGCTGCTAGGTGTCTCTTGTATATTGAAGCCATCTCTGTGGTTTATGTCATCTGAACCCAGCAGGGGTCAGTTTATGAGAATTAACAAATCCACTCAGAACCCTAAAACAGGCTCTGGATTATGCAAGGGGTCATTCCGCACCTCACTGGGTTAGGATGGCACAACAAAGTGTGGGCAGGATAGGTGAATTCAGAATGGTTGCCCACATAATAATCTGCTATGGCTTAATTAAGCAAACTGGCCCAGTACTTGTGTTCAATTGCAGTGGCCTGCATTATTGTACATTTTGTTTTCATAGGCTCGTGAACTTTGTATCTTGGATGTAAAGGTGAAAAAAGAAGATAATGAGCAGCTTTTGAAAGGTCAGTCTTTCCCTTTAACATTCAGGCAGCTAAATTTTTACTATCCTATTTTTTAACTGCTTAACATTTATGATGGTTATGACCTTTGATTAAAAGTTGAATTAATCTAACTGGTTAATTTACTAAAGACAATTGATTGGGTAGGACAAGTTAATTATTTTCTATATAATTTATAAGTACTGCAGCTATCAGGCACCATCTTAGAAGAGAAGTGGTTATAAAAACAGAGAAATATTTATATTAAAAGTAATTAACTTTTTAAAATGTGCTGCTAATCACTGCTCTTTTAGTTAATTAACCATTCAATTGTATGCATGTTTACTTGGAAGTAGGTCCAGCTGAAATTGATATACCATATTGTAAAGGAAATGTCCATAGGACATTCAGTCTATTTCAGCTGTAAAAAGATTATGCAGAAAGAGCGCCTTTTAAAAATGGTACCTGCTGTGACACATAGATGTACAATATAAAAACAAGTATGCTTTTCTCTTCAAATTTAATACTGTGCAAACTAATGCAGAATTAATAAGTTAAACTTCTGTTGATTTATTAGCTAGGTTTTTTTAAAGAAGGTAATACCCTAATTTATACTTTTTTCCCAGAGGAAGAGGGAGGAGGTACTGGCAGAAACAATGCTAAAATAATGCTGAAATGTATGTTCTCCTTGACAGTCTCCTCTAAAGAGTTTGATGTCAAATACCTGCCAACTATTACCTTAATATTCAAATAGTTGCCTAAAAGGTGGAGTATGCATTGCCTTGATGAACATAGGCTTCAGAACCCATGTTTACTGAGTCAGTGCAAATGCACTGGGAATGATTATGAAGGAGAACTAGAAGGCAGGAAAGAGATGCTTTATTTTTCCATGGCCTGTTCTGCTCTGCAAATGGTGCGTCTCCCTTCCACTTGCTCCACTCCCGCCACACTTAGTCCTTGGGTACACAAAAAATCACAGTCTGAGGCATTTGAAGGGGAGTATTAGACACAACCTGTGAAAAGATTATGCCACTTTTACTTGCCTGGTACATTAGCATTATGTGGCAAACACTAGATTGACTTGACATTTGTATTTGATTTCCAATAATATTTGATTTCAGTATGGAATAGTTTGTAACATCTGTGTTGTGCTATTTGATATTTGACTGTACCTGCTAATTGGCATTCAGTGCTAGCAAGTCTAAAGCACTGAAGTGTTAAGGCAAACATTTTTAGTGTGATAGTTGAAGTTTCATTTTCAAATAATGAATGATGATGTGTACATTTGTTGGATTTTGGATATTTGACTTTTAAACAACTTGATTTCCAACTCAATTTCCTTAATTAGCAAAAATTAACAAGATAGAACAACTTATTTAATTTAACTATTTACAGGTTGCTATTCAGGGCAGGTGTGCTCCTAAGGCAGCACATAACATTAAAATCCTCATATCCTGATTATCAAGCTAGCAAAAAGTGGGCTAAAATGAACAATGATGAGGTGCATCCACAGCTGGCTACAGACTTGAATTCAAATAGTGCTCATCAATAGCACCTTCTCAAAATGGGAAGAGGTAACAAGTGGGGTATCACAGGGTTTAGTCTTGGGCCCAGTGCTCGTCAACATTTTTATTAATGATTTGGATGAGAAAGTGCAGGGAATGAATATCAGATTTGCAGATGATGCAAAATTGGATGGGATTGCTAATATCCCGGAAAAGAGAAAGAAAATTCAAGGTTGTCTTGATAGGTTGAAACACTGGGCTTGAAAACAACAGAATGAAATTATGTAGGGACAAATGCCAAGATCTGTACCTAGGAAAAAGAAACCAAATGCAGTGTTTCAAGATGGGGAATACTTGGCTCAACAGTACTGCAAATGAGAAAGTTCTTGGAATTGTTGTAGATCACAAGCTGAATATGAGTTTACAAGTACTTGAAGGGTTGTTACAAAGAAGAAGAGCAGGATCTCTTCTTGATCATCCCAGAGTACAGGACACAAAATTAACAGGCTCAAATTACAGGAAGCCAGATTCCAGCCAGATATCAGGAAAATTTTTCCTGACTGTTAGATCTGTTTGAAAATGGAACCAATTATCTAGGGAGGTTGTGGGCTCTCCCACACTAGAGGCATTCAAGATGCAACTGGACAGCCATCAGAGAGAGATGGTTTAACTGAGATTCCCACACTGAGTAGGGTGTTGGAAACAGCCAGAGGGTCATCAGATCCAACTCTACTGTTTTATGAAAATCTGTATGATAAAATTAATAATAAAAATGATGCAATAATGAGAGCAGCACAAGTTCAACAAAGCAACAAGTATCAACATAAGGCAGAACGTACAACAGAACTGCAGGTGTACACAATCTGATAAAGCATAACAAGGGGAAGGCCAGAATAAAGTCTTCAGACTCTTCTTTAAAGGCTGCAAGGATGAGGCTGGGTGGACCCTTAATTGCTTCTTATTTCAGAGCTGTGGGGCCACTGTGGAAAAGGCCCTCTCTCGTGTACTTCTCTACCTAATGCTTTACAAAGGTGAGCAAATGAGAAGGGCCTTTATTGCTGGTCAGGTGGATAAGGGTGGAGGGTTAGGGTGGAGGCAGTCCTTCAAGTAATGTCTGAAACCATTTGAAGTTTTAAAAGTTGAAAGCAGTACTTTAAATTGTGCTCAGAAACAGAGTGATAACTGCTATGTAGTACAGACATTATATGATGTGATCACCTTGCTCCTACAAAGACTCAGATGGCTGTATTTTGCAACAGCTAAAATGTATGGACCATCTTCACAGGCACCACCACACAGAGCATATCACAATAGTCCAGCTTGGATGGCACGAGCGCATAGAGAAAGGAGGCAAGATCTGTCTTCCCCAGACATGCTCCTGAGCACCGTAGCCACCTGGGCTTTCTTATTTGGTGGAAATTCCCAAAAGACTTATAGACTTGCCCTAAAAGTTGGTATTTTAGGGCAAGTGCAACCAGTTATCTGGTTTGCATCTAAGACCAGTTGTAAACCTCCGTCCACAGTGGTTAGTTTCCCTACCCACAGTACCTCCATCTTGTCTGGATTAAGTTTGGTATTTCAACCTCAGTCATCCCAAAACGGCCTCCAGACTCTGGCTCAAGCATTCCTCAGCTTTCCTTGAAGTGAGAGGTAGAGCTGAGTATCATCTGCATACTGATGACACTTCAGTCCAAACCTTCCAATGACTTCCCCTAGCAATTTCATGCAGATGTTAAGAATTGATATATTTTATCATATGGGTTGATCCTACTCATCTGCAGTGTTTATGGTTTAGATATAATATTCCTGGACCTCAGCAAAGCTTTTGACCTAACCCAACTGTGTTTAAATTATTATTTTTTTTATAAGTATGCAGTTTGCTAAACCCCCACATGCAAAGGAGCAGTAGTTAATGCAGGTATACTATATCAGAAAGAGGTATCCATCAGGGTTCTGTAGAACATTGTTGAACAGAGGTAATGAAGGATGGTTGTTTTAAAGTTCATTACTTAATTGAAAATCAAGCTTCCTTAGTAGATAATATTTCCAGTCAACTTCTTTAGGAGCATAAATATGTAATTTAACTATTCAAAGTATTATTATTTTTAGCCAAGAAAAATGTTGTGCTTACCGTACAAGAGTCCTATGAAGGAACACGGATAACCACCCCTGATTTAGATTCGTTCCGCTTTCATTGCATAAAGAGCTGGGAACCAGTATTAAAAGTGAAGCTTCAGGTAATGGCAGTTTTCATGCGCCATAGGCTGTATTAGACAAATAAAAGAAATATACTTGTGTCCTCTCCCTTTCCCAAACTCCATTCCTTCTGAATCACATCAGGTTCAATGGCTGCACAGGAGGATCAAGGACAGTCCCATACTGTCCTAGCTCCTTAGATCCACATCTTTACTCTTTTCCTACTCTAGATACCTCCTTCAGCTGATGGAGTTCTAACAATTTCCCACTCCTGCTTAGCCATCTGCTAAAGCATCCAGTCTTCATGTGCTATGCAAACATCCCAGCCATGAAAACAATCTGGTCCAGTCATCTGGGCTTGTACAGTGTCTGTAACCTCCCCCTACTTTACACCAGTGAATGAGTCTCTGTAGGTTTCCCTTTGGTTCTGATTTAATAGCTGTTATATGTTCATGTAACAGCAGGCCTGAGACTCCCTGCATTGATGCACAGAAACTCTCCCTTGCACTTCTACTTGTACTCATGATATGTGAAAATCCAAAAAGTTTTGATCTTAAATTCTGTACTTACTGTCCTTGCTACTTGTCCAACTTGCAAACTTGTCTTCAGTTAGCACAGAAGGCAGAGTATAACCTGCTTTGTGTTGACAATTCAAGAATCTGTAAGAGCTTAGGAAGATAGATGAAGACATGAAGCTGAGCAATGCAATTAGCAATAGACCTGTGCTTCATTGCAAAGCTATATGTTATGATTCAGCCCAAATCAAATTCTAGGCAGTTTGATGTTGCCAACCGAATTTTTAAAGGCACAAAAGCCTTTCAAAGTCACAACCAAGAATTCCACCTTCAGAAGCCTGCCTTTGCCTTCTCAGCAGGCATGATTCTTTCTGGGCCAGCTGAAGTCCTGAAGATAGAAAACAGTCTTCAGGACAGGCGGTGGGTGGGGGCTGGTGGCAGCAGTGGTCCAAATCCAGATGCTGTCCTAGTCTGTCCGCCTCATAAAGAGGGTAAAGACCGACATTGGCCAACTAAATGTTTTGGAGGACAAGGGAAGTGTGGAGGCAATCCTGATTCTGCTTTCCTCCTGTGTTTGACTGGATACCTGTACTTCCGAGTTTGGAAGGTTATGGCCAGCCCATAGACCCTAGTTCGTTCCAGTGTCCGGACTAGAACAAAGGAGAATCCAAGAGAACCAATTTAGAAATATCTCTCAGAGAGATGGTAGCTCAGCTGTGTTCAGGCTGCAGTGCAACTACCAGGGTTGCTGCTGCATCCTTTCAACATCTTCAGAGAGTGTCTTGTTATATGCTGCTTAGAGCAGTTTGACTATTGGGCAGCATCGAAATACAAGTATAAATAAATAATGGGCTGAAAGCCAGGATAAAACTGAAATGGAATCTGTAAATAAATCTTTATTAGACATTTTCATTGTTCAATGTATCTTCGATGTCCTGTGTGTTTTTGGTGAATGTCTCATGGTCTTCTTTCCTCTTCAGAGTGTTTCAAGTAAGGAGGAGAATGATTCAGACTACCCTTTCGTTCTGCCACTGAAACTGCTTCCAGTGGGACTGCAAATGAAAGTAGACCTAAAAGTAGAGGAGGCAAGTGTTGCTTCATTTAGCTAGCCTTCTCTTTCTGAACACTGGTAAACATTGATATAATCTCCATAGCATAACTTTAATAGCAGTAGTAATACTTATTCTGATTAAACTCTGAAGGAATCAATAGATGCATAGCAGAGTTTTCCAGCCTTTTATCAGCACTATATATAAATGCTGACCCATTTCCTAAATTGGGCTAAAGGTCTGAAATATTTAACAGCATGATGCAACCTGCAAGAGGCACAATAATTGTCATATAATGATGGTGGCGGATATTTCAATAATGTTGTAACCTAAATGAATAGATCTTCTAATGAAATCCATGTTCTTCAGACTTCTGAAGTATCCAAAGATTGGCAGTAGCGAAGGAAAAATGCCTATCTCTATATCTATTGCTACTTTGTAATATTGAAAGCTGTTTTGTCATATGAATTTGGGGCAAAATCGTATGTCCTCCCAGTGTTTTCTGATTTAACACAATTACTAGCAAAATATAACTTTTTAAGCATCTTTAGGGCTTGCGACCTTGATTTTTTTTCAGTCTCACTGCAACCCTGTGAGGAAGGCTATTGTATTTTACCCATGAAAGAACTGAGGTTGTGACTTGCCCAGATCCACTATGAGGTGGACCTTGAGCACCATTTTCTTGGGTGCAAGCCTACTTCATTTCCCTGCAACAGTGCTTTTCAGCCAATGGTGCTTCATGACTACCAGAATCCACCTCTGCACTGAAACACACTTATTCTGGTGGCATAAAGCAGCTTCAGGTCCTCACTTGGCTGTGGAGCCAACTGGATGACCTTGGGTTGGTCACAGACTCTTAGCCCAATCTACCCTGCAGGGTCATTGTTGTGGGGATATGATTGAGAGTAAGAAGAGGAAAAATATAAGTCACTTTGAGTTCTGTGTAAGAAAAAAGGTAGGATGTAAATTAAACAAACAAACAAGCACGGCTTCCTAGTTTTGCATATCTGTGAAACCAAAAATGGGCTGTGCCTCTTCCAGAGGCAAGATGAATGAATTCCACTGATGGGGAGAGTGCTTTCCTTTCCCTGTGGGAAGTCTCTGCTTTGATTGTCATGCAAAAGTGTGAAACCAAGAACAGCAAGTTGTGTTTCTTAAAATCCAGAGCCGGTCTCATTTAGACTTGCTGCAGCCAGGCAGTGCCTTGCCTCTTCAGTGGGGCCAGCATACTGCACTGCTGACCAAAACAAATCCATGAATGCCTTCCCAGACTGTCTCCTGGTTCCTCTTGCTAGTTGGGCAGCTGTGTTGCGGAAACTTTGCTTTGGCTTCAAGACATAGTGGATCACAAGGATCATCCTGACCAGTAAGAAAGAGCTGAGGACATTCAGAAGTTCCTGAATGGCAAGCAAAAAATGTTATTTTCCCCCTGATCTTTCTATCAGTCTGACACCACTATTGAGACAGGAACGTTATAAAATGGAATTCAGAAATGAAAATATTTCACATCCCACAGTTTGATCCTTCAAACTTAAGATGACCTGGAATGTGAATTTACTTGCTCCCCCGCCTCCCTTGCCAAAACAGTTTCCTGAAAGATCAGCAATATGGTCAGACTCTGCAACTGGTATTGGACCTCAAAAATAGGAAAGTGGTCACCATCCAAAGTCTGCTCCACATGTTTGCTCAAAAGGAACTACCTGTAAAAGAACACAAACAAAATTCCCAGCCAGTTCATTGCATGTCAACCATGATTAACTCTGTATTTTTAGGCATGAAGAAACATGCAGTATTGGTAACACCTGGACAACTGCAGCTTCCTTCCATGTATATGTGCAGGGAGTTAAGTGTCCAATTATCATGGATTATTAAATACAGTCATATGTCAACTCTTTCTCCATGTGTCAGCTATTCTTAAATTGCACTTTACGTTTATGCAACTAATTTATTGACTTCACACACGCATCGTTTGTTTACAGGGTGGGGCTTTGGAGTTGCACCTTCAGGTAACGGGCTGGTAAGATATGATCTTTCTCTTTAAGTTATTTCCTTACACTGCAACTTTGAGTGCTTTGTTGAGTGCTTCCCTCAACTTTGAGGGAAGGACACTTGTTTAATTAATAAATAGAAGTCTTGAAAAATGATTGTAAAATTTTGCCCATTGGCTAAATGAGAGCATGCTATTTTGCAGGTAACTTTGCTTGGTGTTCATGCTGTATATTTGTGTGTAGTCAAAAAGAAATTCAGGAAAACTTAAGGTTTAATCTTTTCTCTGGTTAACATTCATGGGACTGCACTTAACTAATTATTTGAGCTTCAGTCAATTGACCAGTTACTTAATCCGTATAAATGTGCATATCAATAAAAATAGTTCTGAAGTTAAAAGCATATGTACTTTGAGATGATTCACATGTGTTGAAGCAGGAATCATTTTAGAAGAGGGATCTCTTGTTTGCAAGAGAAGGGGAATTTTTCCTTGCAAACTGATACTTTCTGTCTGTGGTTTTCATAAATGCTTCTTTTTAAGTGCATATACTTCCGTGGCTATCATTAGGGTGGGCATGGTCAGGCACTAACCAAGGGTCCGTATCCCAGCATGGACCCACTGACTGGAGCCCCTAGACTTGCTCCTCCCCTCCGCCACTGAAACTCGTTTCTTGGTGGGTGTCTGCCGGGGCACAAGCAGCAGTGGTGGAAGAGAGTAGGGGATGCCTCCCCCAACTTACTCACTGGCTCTCCCCTGGCAAGCAAGCCAGTGGTGGTGATGATGTGAGAGAGGATGAGGAGCAAGAGCAGCAGTGGACAGTGGTGGTGAGAAAGTAGCTCCACTGAGAGAGGGGCCCCTGGAGGGTGTCTTGTTCGTGGCCCCTCACAGACATGCAGCCTGCACTGAGTCTACCTGCCTTTGTGCTTCAGCAGTGGATCATTCTTTGCAGCAGGGTGTTGGATAGGCCGATTCAGAGGAACCTTTGATGCTTAGTCCACTGAGTGGTGGCATGGCAATTAGATACATGTTTGCCCGTCTCCTATCCACAGGGAAATGCTCCCTTTAATTAAACTGAACTGTAGTTAAATATACTATTTGGCTTCTAATTATGCAGCATTTCAAAGCCTGATGCTCATTCCGAGCAGCTATTTGAATCATGCCTTCTGGAACAAAAATGGATTCCAGGAAGTATGGTATGTTCCCAAGGTCCAATAACTCAGAGTGAACACAGAGTGCCAGCATGCCTGAATCTCTCCATTTAAAAAAAAAAACAACTAAATCAGTATTTAACGGATTGATTCTTAAACATTCCAGCCTTGCAAAGAACGCCTGGAAGATCCATTGCTTATTAGACACTGTCTATGTCTTGAGTTTAGGAAGAAAAAGTGATTGTCACAATACAGCAGTGAAGATTATGGGTCCTTAGTCGCTCTGGTTTTTCCAGCTACAAATTTAACTGAAGAGTCATAGTTGTTAATTGTGCTTGGTGTAATTGTAGTAGTTGTGGGAATATTCTGTCATCTTGCTCACAGCCAGACCATGTAATGGCTCTGTCTCTGTTTCAGGTCACAAAATCTTGACTTACGTCTGGGATATGAACTTTGTAATGATGAGCGGGATTTTCTGCACAAAAGGAAGAGGGTGGTTAGCAATGCCTTGAAGAAGCTTTTTCATCTGAGTGAAGACCTGTGTGAGCACGAGGTGTGTGTTAGTATGATGATCTTCAGGACAACCAAACATTTGCCGACTTAAATGTCTGCATAAGTTTGACAGCCATTACTATAGATCTATATTAGTCTTAAGCCTAGTAGTGAGCATGCTCACTAGAGGTTTCATATAAGTGAGTCTCAAAATAACAATGCAGCCTTTCTTCAAACTTTTTGCCTGAAATTGTGTACATCCCTGAGAACTTGTTTCTTTAAATCTTATTTTGGGCCCAAGCAAATCCGCAAATACGGTAGTGTCTTGTTCTGCTACAGAGAACCTTCTCACTTCTATATGTTTTGAGGACCAGCAGAACCTAGGACATGAAGTACTGGAAGTAGACCAGAAAGTTTTGGGACTGACAGGAATTGTGCACCTTGTGCTTGATATACTGACCTCCTCAGTAAAGCCAGGGTCTGCTTCAGAGAGGAATGAGATATGTACTGTTACGGTACAGTCTAACATTATTGGGATAATGCAAAATGACTTTTATTTTTCACAGTTGTCACAACAAAGTTATCTATTAAGGTTGCAGGCACAGATGCTGTATATGATACATGCTTCCTCTGCCCTCTGAGGAAACAAATTTATTTCTTAACTGACTGTTGTTTCGTAAGCAAGTTGGAAAGCCAAGATTGAAATCTAATAATCAGCCACATTCAAACAAATTTTGCAGCACAATCTTGTGCAGATTTAAACTTGGATACAAGTCCTGTTGCATTCAGCAGGGCTTACTTCCAGCTAATTGTATGAAGAAATGCAACTTCAATTTTCCAGTGTTCATTTTCCAGCATTACTTGATGCTCATTTGTGGTGAGACCTGGAACCATGAAACAAATCAAAAGAGTAATAAATATGACAAGGGAATCCCTTTTGATTGCTCACAAAGGCCTTTCTGTCTCTTGCCAGTGAATGAATAACTATAACAAACCCACATGCAGACATTGGCAATTAAGGCTAGGACCAGTCTTAACATGAACAGTTGATCCAGATGAGTAGCAACTTATTCTTGTCTTGACTCTATCCTTGCATGTTATCCAGTTCAGAGCAGTTTAAGGCAAACACTGCTTGCAGCTTCTCAGGCAGGTATCTTTCAAGGAAACATAGATTCAGGAGCCCCTCATTTTAAAAATTAAGCCCTTGGAGATAGAATATGGGGTGGTGGTGGTGATCAGTACACACATTGATTTGCTTTAATAGAAACCATGAAATCAAAGAGAAAATCATACATGACTGAAGGGTGATATTGTGATATTTGAAATTTCTCTCTTGGAATCCAAGGCTGTTTTGATTGCTGAAGTGCTCACCTCTATTTGTGGGGCATGTCATTGCTCGTATAGGTCCCGGTGATAGCTGTTATGGCAACAGGAGGTGGGCTGAGAGCCATGACGGCGATGTATGGTCACCTCTTAGCACTCCAGAAATTGAACCTTTTGAACTGCATTTCATACATAACTACAGCCTCTGGATCAACATGGTAAGGACTGAATTGTTGCATTTAATTAGACACCCAGCTGCATTTGGTACAATCCAGAAAAAAATCAAGATCAGTTGAATGCAGTGGAACTAAGCACTTCAGTATGATTTTCCATGGTTTGCGTTCTTTGAGATGTACCCACTTGTGATGTGGGCTTGTAGGTAGAAAGTTGGGGATCCTGATTATAAATTCTGCTGCAGCCATGGTGATTTATTGCTTCTATCTGTCACCCCTAAAAAGAGAGGCAAGTTCCAAGGGACAATATATTAATATTGGCAATTAATTTGCCAACATTTTCAACAAGTGTTTTTTTAGATGCAATAGTTACAAATTCATTCATGAAAAAATGGTTCCAAAGGGTCAAAACCCAATTTCAATTATGTTCTTTCAATAATAAAAACAAATTGGCCAGTTTTTATTATTTAATTCTTCTCTGGTCCCAGGAAAGACTGGTGACTCCTATGTCAGCATGCTTCCTTATCCATTACATTTTTTAAAAATTCTAAGCTTTGTAGGAACTCTCCATGGTGATGAATCTGTTTTAGGAGGTTTTCAGACCCATTAGCAGCAAACTTCCCCATATTCCCTTTTCAGGAGAAATAAAAGGCCATTTCTAAAAATTTGCTAAAAGGTAATTGTAAATGCTGCAAAAGAGAGTTGAGAATGTTTTTTAAAAAGAAAGTTGAGAATTTTTTTTAAAAGTGGCATTTAGTAGCCCCAACAAATATGGTTATGCTGGCAGAGTTGATTCTGAACCATTTTGTAAAACACGTGTAATTCGTATAGAAAGGATAAATATATTGTGAACATTTGTTTTATTAATTTCTTTCCTTAGGACAATGACAGACTTGTACAAAAATGCCAACTGGTCACAAAACAATTTGGAAGAGTCCATCCAAGTAATTAAAAGCCAGATGCTGAAGAGCAAAATGGACATTATTTCCATTCAGCGACTGAAACATTATCATAAGGAGATTATTGAGAGGACTGAAAAGGGACACAGTTCATCTTTTACAGATCTCTGGGCCCTTGTTCAAGAGGCCTTCTTACATGAAAAGGTAGGCCCTTCTTCTGTTAAGAATTCCTGTGAAGCTCTGCAAGATTTCCAGTCAGAGAAAAAAAGGGCCTTAGGTTACATGATCTGTCTTCTTCCTTTTGGTAATATTTTGGTTTGACTCTTGTCTGGAGTGTGCAAATGTCCATCCCTATTTATAGCTATATATGGGAGCCCTCTTTGAAGGAGATTAGGAGAATGGCTACCCCCGTCTCAGTGGTGGCACCCCAGTTATGGAATACGCTCCCTGGAGACACTTTATTCTTTTTGGTGCCAGGACAAAACATTTTCATTTTCCCAGTGTTTTAGAAAATTTAAATAAATAACCAAGCCATAGGGCAAAAGACCCAGGAGCAGTGGAGAGTGGGAAGAGTCATGTTGTGGGTGGGATCTGGTACTCTAGCCTGGAGTGTGCAAATGTTTTTGTAGTATGCTTTTATTTAAATAAAAAATTTCAACCTAAAAAAAAATTCAACCTATTTATAGCTATATATGGGCACACATAGTGCAGTCAATAGTATTGTGTTGTATAGTTTGGGAAAATCAATATGATTTCATAATTCACTTCTTGATATTGGGTGTTCAGGAGAAACTGAGCTGTATTCAGACTTAGTCATACTTTTTGTAGATGCACTGAAACCTATGAAATCTAAGTTAGGCATGCTATCTTAAGTTATATTAATTTCAGTAGGATTAGGCTAAATATGACTTGAAGGAATGCTGAGAGTTTTAGGACATTTTCTGTCTGAACCTGCATAAGATTGCATCCATAGTCTGGATCATACCATTGACTTTTTGGACAAAAACATACTTACCAACAGGGATGTGTGATAAATATCTGCTTGCAAAAATAATGTTGAGTCCTGTTTTTCCCCCCCACTGCATTTTAATACATAACTTTAACTTTGCACCTTTATTTGGATATTAGCCAGATAACTGTAAACTCTCAGAACAACGCCAGGCCGTGAATCAGGGCCAGAATCCTTTGCCTATCTATACAGCCATGAACGTCAAAGACAAAAGTATCAGCACCACTGACTTCAGAGGTAGGACTCTGTTCACAGATCATGAAATCCACTTCCTGGAGTAGCTTGCACTGAAGGTGTGATTTCCATCCTTTCTGCTTTCCAGCAGGAAGTTCCCACCAAGCTTGTGTCCCATTCATAAAGTGTTGTTGTTGTTGTTAGTCACGAAGTCATGTCCGACCCATCACGACCCCATGGAAAACATTCCTCCAGGCCTTCCTGTCCTCCACCATCCCCCGGAGTCCACTCAAGCTCACACCAACTGCTTCAGTGATTCCATCTAGCCACCTCATTCTCTGCTGTCCCCTTCTTCTTTTGCCATCTATTGTTCCCAGCATTAGACTCTTCTCCAGGGAGTCCTTCCTTCTCATTAGGTGGCCAAAGTATTTGAGTTTCATCTTCAGGATCTGGCCTTCTAAAGAGCAGTCATG